GCCACACCCCACTGACATCTGCACCCGGCCCAGCAATGACCAAGCCACCGCTGGAAGCCCCCTGGTCTTCCCTGTGGGAATGAGGGGGGGGGGTGCCACAGGTTTCAGTCCCACTCTTCCTCCTTCCATCCCATTTCCTTCCCCTTTCCCCTCTCCCCCTCCCTCCTGACTGTTCCACAACAACATCACAAAATGTAAAAAAATATATATTAATAAAAATGAAAAATGAAAAATAATAATAAAAATTTTAAAAGTTGTGAAACAGCAACAATAATGCACATTCATATATTTTAAGCTCTTGATATGGAATCTTATCAGAAGCCTGGAGATATTCTCACAACAGCTGGTAAGAATGTAGTTTGGTATAACCTCTATGGGGGCAATGTATCTATCAAATTTTACTAATGCAAGTATGTTCACAGTTATTTGTTGCTGCATTGGATTCAATATTAAGTGACTGGAAACAACCCAAATGTAAGTCAGTAGGGAACAGTTTAAATAAATTATGGTGTATCCATAAAATGCAATACCATGCTACTGTTAAAAAGCATGAGGAAGCTCTCTAAGTATTAATGTAGAAAGATCTCCAAATCATATTAAGTGAGAAAGCAGGTGAGAACTGTGGGCTTATTCTAATGATGGACACTTGCAGTGTTTCCAGCTGCTGGCTATTATAAATAAAGTTGCTGTAAGTATTCTTGTAAAAAAAAGAAAAGAAAACAGTAGGCTTAATGTGCTACCTTTATTCCAAAAAGGGAGGGGTATAAGTATCTACATTCACGTAGTTCATGTTTGCAAAAGAAACTCTGGAAGGATACCCAGTACCTAAGAACAGTGGTCGCCTATGATAGGGAGTGGGGGAAGTGGGAATTGAGCAGATGAGGGACAAGAATGCAAGAGAAACTTTTCACCATATGCCTTCTCATAGTCTTTTATTTTTCTAGTCAAGAAAATGTATTTTTAAGCAAATACATGTACCACTTACAATGTGTCAGCCACTGCTACAAGCCATTTAAAATCAGTAACTCATTTATTATAATTTATTTATTCATAAATATGCATTCAAAATTAAAATTTAAGGGGATATTAGAAGTGTCATAATTCTATAGCATTTATGCAGAAAAATATCCTCATTCTTAGGAGACAATATGTGGAATTATTTAGGGATAAAACTAGTATGTCTGCAACTTTCTCTCAAATGGTTTAGCAAAGAAAAACATCTGTGAGTGAGAATGTGTGCATGTGTGCTGAGAGGGAGAAAGAAAAAGATACAGCAAATATGGCAAAACGTGAAAAAAAAAAAAAAACTGATGAATTCATGGGAAGGGTTTGTGAGTAACCAGAGACTTCTTCTTGCAACTTTTCTGTGGATTTAAAATTACCCAAGATAAATGTTGATAGAGAAAAAATATCTCAGCAAAGTTCTTAAAACTTAAGTAAAACTTTTCTACTTAGTTTCTTCATACCCTTTAGACTGGTTTTCAAGGCCGGTAGAATATATCTCGATTTATTGGTCCAGTCTCCTTATTTGTCTTCTAGAACCTTATGCTCTAACTAAACTATATCTTCATCTGACCAAATCTTACCTTAAATGGTTTTCAGAAATTACTTTCTCGAAGATGCCTTTTTTGCACTTTCCAAAATCATGTGATCTCTCACCACTGTGAATGTCTATGGCACTTTTAGTTCTATTGGGATAGATCATATCCTATATTTTGTTATAAACACTGCATGCTATCCTTATGTCAAACAATAGATAATAATGCATAATGGATATGTATATTGACATGTATTATACATTCACATCAGATATATATATACTTACTATTAGATATATACCGTCTATAGCAATAATTGTAGGTTACAGCAAGGTACTCCCTAAGAACTTAGAATTAAAAGAAAACAGAAGTGTTGTTTTTTTTTTTTTTTTTTTTTCCTTTTTGTCTTTTTTCATGTCCGGCAACGGATCACAACCCTCAGTGTCGCGCCCGTACCGGACCGGGACCGGCAACGGGATCGCAACCCTGGGTGTTGCGCCCGCACCTCGCTCAGCCAGTGAGCGGGAACCGGTCTGTATGTGGGATCCGAACCCTCGGCGGGAGGGCCACCGCACTCCCAAGCGGCACACTGTAGCAGTGCGCCACCGGGCCGGCCCCAGAAGTGTTTTTTTTTTTAAGAGGTTAAGATTAACATTTGTGTAGTGGAAATGGGTGAAGTGGGCAATCACGGGAAGGGGAGAGGCGCCCAGCTCTCCCTTGCACAAACTGCTCCCTCTGCCAGCCACCTCCCTCCCGCTTAATCCCTTCACGTCTCAAGCACAGGGTTACTACTTGAGAGAAGCCCTCTCTGACCTGTTAGGTCAAATCCCCCATTACAGAATCTGGACCTCTTCTTAGCATTTATCACATTATTTTTAACATTTATATGTGTAATTGACTACTGTCTGCTTCCTTGACCAAACTGTATGCTCCATGAGTGTGGTCATGCATCCCATCACTCCCAAAGGGAGAAAGAAGTTGAGCAACTTGACTCCACTGACTTCTACAATTACATATCCCATCGACACTACTTACACATACACACACTTATTTTGCCCTTTCCTGTCAGTAATTCCATTACCGTCTTGTGTCAAATCACTCCATCCCCCACAGAGCAAGAAAGAGACAGGGACTCTGCTTTTACTCATCCTCGTTTCAAGAGTTTCTCATTTCCTTTAAATGATGCCTCAGGATGGCTGCTCTGGACTTCCCACACTATCCACCCCTCAACTCTTCTAAGAAAAAGTGGCTTCAAATTCCCCATACAAAATGTAGGTATTCTCCCCCTTAAGCGTTATGTGTAGATTTTTCCTAAGAGATAAATCTCGGCTTCAGGGAGTCCCTTTCCAGCCGATGAATGGCTGCTATTTCTATTTTCAGTCTGTCTGTGTCACAGCCCCGACAAAAGCCACTGAGGGGAGAGGAGGACTCTTCAATAAGTTTTACTCTCGGATTCTTTTCAAGGGCCCCCGCCAGACCCCTCTGCCGCCTCCTCGGAACGACCTCCCGCACGTCGGCGGGAGAGGGACCGCGCCACACGCGCTGCGGCCGCCCCGGCCGGGCGCTCCTGCGGCGGGAGAAGCGCGCGCTCGGCGGGGCGGGG